AATGATAAAAATAATGTTTTGTGACACATTTTTTGGCATATCGTACCAAGTACAGAAGTACACTGAATTGCCAAGATCTTCAGTCTGAGTTTTTAAATATTCACCCACGTAACTATATGCGAATAATTGTGTTAAGAGCACGCACATTACTATAAATGTTTTTATTGTCATGACGACATTTCCAATGCTCAAAGCGAGAATAAATTCAAATCCTAGAAACAGATATAAATTTCTATAAATTGAATGCACTTAAATAAAATTATGTTATTGTGTTTAATCAAATATTATTTCATTAAATGAAATAAAACTATTGCAAATATTCACCGGTTGTACATATAAGCACACAACTTGAAAATAGTTGTACGATCAAAATAGAGCTAATTGTTTCATTCAACATGTCGCTTAGTTTCAACAAGTAAATGTGTCTCTTAGTTAATAAAGTAATATGTTTCGTTGTTCTTTCGTTCTCGTTGGACAATTTATTATATTCTAGTCTCAAAATCTCCACTTGGCCGCACAAATGAAAGGCAATACCAAAAAACAATGAATCACTACCTAAATATTTAAAATTAAACAAAACATTTTAATACTAAAATCATATCCCGAACAAGTGTTGATATTTATGTGCGCGATAAATCATTACCTAGATTTCCAGTGCTCGTAAGTAGCAACATTAAGTATTCAACAATAAAAATCACGAAATACATATTTTTCGGCATATTTATAAGTGTTAATGTATTTTCAGATGGCATAGGATATTTTATTGCACTTTCTTCCGTTACATTAATCACTTCTTCTTCATCCCCAGCGAGCATAGGCACGGTCATGAAAAGCGTGGAGCCGACATACGAGCAAAATATTAAACTGGCGCACGCTACTCTACCCATGTAAGCGTGTCGGCGTACAATCACTCGATTCTCTTCACTGTTTAATTCGTTGTAATCCTTAACCGCTGAAGTAAAATTGGAGATAAGTCCTATGGGCCGTACATGAAAACATGTTACCTTTGCCACTGCCAAAATGCCGCCATTGATTAATACCAGAGCATCTAGATTATTTTCCGCGTTGCTTCTGTCCAAATATAATTCCACTTGTAGTATCGCTAACATTAGCAACTGCAATAGAACGATACTTAAATCTTGACTAATCATTAGTTGAGAGATATAATGACTCAAAAATTTCATACCACAAGAAAAGTTGAAAACATGGCACGTATGATCGAGAATGCATTGAACACCTGAAGTGGCCAGGTACCTAAGGGCCATGACAAGAACTTCAACGGGGTCATAGCGTAAGCGAAGTCTTTGTTCGATGTTGTCTTCATTTTTTCAGCACGGTATAAGAAATCGTCAATCGATCATACTTAAGTAATACTTGAATACAATGTAACTTCTCCTTCCTTTTCTTTTTCCTAGTTGCGCGTTGTATTTTTCGAATCATCTTTTATTCAGCTGTAATCACTTAACTATCTATCTATTCAGGATGTTACCATTTCTATATCAACTGTGTGTTATCAAGAAAATTTCGTCGAAAGTTGTTATATTGTAAACATTTTCTTGTTATATTTTGATATAAATAATAAAAAAGCTCATGAATATTTGCTTCGAAAACTAGTGTGTGTTTTTTATTTTACATTCAATATTCATTCATCAAGTAGTTAGACTGAAAATATGACAATGAAGAAATACGAAGAACTATTTTGTCATAGAGAAAGGAAAAGTAGAAAACAACTGAAGTATATCAATTCAATTTTTTTCAACGCGACGCAACAATTATAAGTTTTTGAAAATATTTTATTGGAAATTTCTTTAGGGAGGAATTTTTTTAGTAGGAAAATATCTCGTTGTTTTTTCTCATCGAATAGTAATAATACCATCTTTATTACACCACTGAAGAGTATATCAAATATTGTGAGATGAATACATAATATTGATAATCAAACAATTTTCACGTGTCCATCATTACTCTCAAGACGGATAGATAGGAGGCTGAACTTTTCAGAATCTCTTTAAAGGTGAATATATTCATGGAAACGAATTTACCAGCTGTCACATGGTAAGAGGAATTTCCACGACAGATTATCAGTATTAGATCTCTTGCCGTGCGTCCTCGAGATTGGTACCAGAATGAATGGAAGGCGGCTTGTGCGATTTCTTCGGTTCGAGATTCGAGAGCGTCGCCAGCGTAGGCGTAAAGATATAATTGGATGAGTAAAGTTACCATCAGGACCATGCTTTTCAATGCACCGATGTTGTCCTTTGTGCTCAAGCAGACCAAAAACACAAAACCTGCTTTCAAAAACAATAAAACAGTATTAAAAAGTAAGTATATAAAAATATAAGAAGTATAAAATTATATTTAAGGAAAAATTTCATAAACTATTTTCCAAATTCTTGAAATAAATTAAAAATTTCGGCCGAAAATTCGATTTTGTATCAGGAGAATATAAGCTGACAGGAGGTCTATCGAGAAATTTTTCCAAGAATTTTGGCGGTTCTTGGAAATGACGTCAAATTCCTGGAATTTTCCAAATTCTTGAAATTGAAACTTTTGGCCAAAAATTCGACTTTGTATTAGGAGAACATAAGTTGATAGGAGGTCGCTCGAGAAATTTTTCCAAGAATTTTGGCGGTTCTTGGAAATGACGTCAAATTCCTGGAATTTTCCAAATTCTTGAAATTGAAACTTTTGGCCAAAAATTCGACTTTGTATTAGGAGAACATAAGTTGATAGGAGGTCGCTCGAGAAATTTTTCCAAGAATTTCGCCAGTTCTTGGAAATGACGTTAAATTCCTGGAATTTTCGAAATTCTTGAAATTGAAACTTTTGGCCGAAAATTCGACTTTGCATTAGGAGAACATAAGTTGATAGGAGGTCTATCGAGAAATTTTTCCAGGAATTTTGCCAGTTCTTGGAAATGACGTCAAATTCTGAGAACCTTTAAAATTCCAGGAAAATGACGTCAAATTCTTGAAATTTTCAAGATTCTTGGAAATGACGTCAAATTCCTGGAATTTTCGAAATTCTTGAAATTGAAACTTTTGGCCGAAAATTCGACTTTGTATTAGGAGAACATAAGTTGATAGGAGGTCGATAGAAAAATTTTTCCAAGAATTTCGCCAGTTCTTGGAAATGATGTCAAATTCCTGGAATTTTCGAAATTCTTGAAATTGAAACTTTTAGCCGAAAATTCGACTTTGTATTAGGAGAACATAAGTTTATAAGAGGTTGATAGAGAAATTTTTCCAAGAATTTCGCCAGTTCTTGGAAATGACGTCAAATTCCTGGAATTTTCGAAATTCTTGAAATTGAAACTTTTGGTCGAAAATTCGACTTTGTATTAGGAGAACATAAGTTATAGGAGAACATAAGTTGATAGGAGGTCTATCGAGAAATTTTTCCAAGAATTTTGGCGGTTCTTGGAAATTACGTCAAATTCCTGGAATTTTTCAAATTCTTGAAATAAATTAAAATTTTGGACGAAATTTCGATTTTGTATCAGGAGAACATAAGTTGATAGGAGGTCGCTCGAGAATGTTTTCTGAGAATTTCGCTAGTTCTTGAAATTTTCAAAATTCTTCTATTCAGTATCAAATTCCTGGAATTTTTGAAATTCTTATAATAAATTCTTCTCAATATTGTACAGTTTTTTTTTTTTTATTAATTTTTTTCTTATATAATACTTACCTTTGTATACTTACCTTATATTTAATAATACTTACCTTACAGCTTTCATTCTTCGCAATATTGCACATTTTTTAAACATTTTTCTTAAATCTAAAATACTTACCTTTATTACTTACCATTTATCTGCTTATCTTACAATTTTTTTAATTCTAGGAAGTTCACAATTTGCCTTATATCTTTATCATTCTCGGTTGTTTTTGATAATGTTAAAAAAATGTTTCAAATAAAAGTCGAAAGTGTTTTAATATACGCATATAAACGCATTCTGATATTATTAGATACGAAATAATTTACAATATTAGAATATATGAAATAACGTTCAACTTTTATTTAAAACATTTATTAATATTATTGAAAACGAGATGAGTTGAGTTGAGATTTTATTGTTAATGCGTAACGAAAGCAAATATCTAAATCTTACCGTCCACACAAATCAGCAATGCGCTCATCAATAATTGTACAAATATGATCATGTTGAAGGTCTGTTCTAAATCGTTGACGAGTAGCGCGAGTTGGCAATGTCGTTTCACGAGTGGACCGATCTTTCTCTGATCGACAAACTCGATTTTGGCAATGCTCGTCTTGAGGATCTCGAATTGGCCGCACAAGTGCATAGTTAAACTGAAGAACAATCCGTCGTTGCCGCAATGAGCAACCGCGTTAACGAAAATGAATATTCCTTGCAACACTAGTACGCAAACGTGATGGAGCAAAGGCAACGATCCGAACACGCAATAGGATGCCAGGAAATAATTCAATTTCAAAGGAATATCCGGATTCATCGATAAATTTCTCGAGTTTTGAAACATCTAAACAAAAAAATTTTTTCAAGTATCAATACAGTTTCGATTTTCGAGTAAAATTGTTTTTTCTTTTTTAAATAATACCATATTTTCATCATAAATAATATCAATATTATCTCTCTGTCATCAAAGAGAATTATTACTCTCCTGTAATGTAACGAAATCGAAATCGAAAGACAATAAACTTTGACGAACCTGGAACGGCAGAATATCTCCGAAAGGTAAGGCTTTGAAGATAAAAGAAAATCCGGAAGCGTAGCCCAGGTAAAGTATCATCAGAGAGACGATTCGTCCTTTCTTAAGGTATTCCATCATAATGTATTCGTGGCGGGAATCGTGAACGCTCGACCAATCTTTCACCACCGAATTTATAAGGATCCAAGTGTGTTTCGAATTGAAACGCAAGATAAAAAGTTTGGCGAGGCTGATGACGGCGGAAAGATCCATGACGAATGCGTCCATCGTGTCGTCGATGTCGAGGCAATGGCGATAGATTTCCATGGACAGGATGTAGATAATACCGATCTAATCGCGAAAAGAAAGATCCTGGGAGGATCTCGACAATTACCGCCATACTTTTTCGAACTTACTTGTGTCGTGACGGCGAAAATCCATCTGCCGAAGAACGAATTTTCATCGTTCGATGGCCAAATACCAATTATTTTTAACACCATCCTCTGCACCATAAAATTATGAATGCGCCTGTCGATCGACTCCTTTCTCTTGCCCATCGTACCGAGATCAGATTCGTATTACGCAATTCGTTTCCCTCGCGCGACCACGCTCGTCTACTTTCCACTTTGATTTCGTATATGTATCGTGGCGCGTGTATACAACGAAAGTCACGCCTACTTACGTGCATATAGCTCCGTCTCACGTCTTTGATCTTTTATTCACGCGGACACGTACGATATTACGTGCGGATAAGCTTATATTTTCATATAAATATAAAAACACAGAGTTGCCGACAGGAAGGGAAGAAAGAAAAGAAAGAAGAAGAAGAACCATAGGAACGTAACAAACGTAACATTTCCGTGATTGTAATATTCGCAAATATTACACAAGATGACACACACACACACACACTCCGAAATGTCATCAATTATTAACGAAAGGGGTGAAATCATAGAAATCTTCGCGTTTCGAATCCAAAGGAATAACGTTTCCTTTGCATCGTCGCGATGAAATTCTCGAGTTCTCCTTATCGAGCATCCGAGTTCATCGAGCAAAACACGGATGAAAACAAGAATTCTGATCTCATAACGGTGTTTCTCGAGCCTGGGCAGCACGCGTGCGTATCTAAATGGTGTGGTATTTT